TCATAATAAGGATGGTGGGCAACATAATGTATGGAACGGTGTTCAAAGTTAGTCGTTATTAGTGTAGTTCACTTAGCTACAGCTTTTACTTTTCGTTTGTTTTTATACCAGACCTACTGATCATAACTTCAGTAGTAGCTAATAGATTGAACTTTAGTATCATGATTTTTAGGAGCTAACAGCTCATCAGCTGGTACTGGAACCGATGAACGGGAAAGATCTGAGCGAAAAAGTGAAAGTGGACCCATGCCTGAATGGATGGACGACGGAGAAGATCAAGAAAAAACGTAGGTTGCCTCTGGTTGGGTTGAAATAGATTTTTTTTTTCGTAAAAGGAAAAATGTGTGATATCTGCAGGGAATCCAGTGACGATACGACCAGCGCTACAGGCTCATTTGACGAACACGGGCGTTTCCAAAAGAAGGTTGGTTTATCAGTACTGCTGACTGCATTTATGTATATGCTTCTTGGTAAACTTTCTCCTTAAAACCTATGCCGTCAGGATTTGGGCCAGAAGATATAGAGCAAATTTTGAAGCCGTTACTTTACGCCCATGTGCAAGCTCTTTCAGGGCTCCGCTAGTGCAGGCATCTGCTTGAGTGATGGCACCTTGATTGCCCATTTTGTGTTGTAAAGTACAAAAAGCACATCTAGTTTACGAACAGTCACTCGAAGAAAACGGTAGGGACGCAGGATGCCAGTAGTAGTAGCTCTGTGACTATCTGCGCTTTGCTCAAGAATGTGCTGCGCAATGAAGGCAGTTACCCTTTTTTTTTCAAACACAAATTCCACCCACATTCTCATATAGGACCCAGTTTCATCACGTTCCACTCAGATTCTCATATATGACCTAATTTCATAATTCAAAATGTAAATAGTTGGTAGCCATGACAACCAGCTGAAACAACATAAAGTACAATTTATTTAAACTCAGAACAGGTCAGAATTGGGATGACAGTTTCAGCGCTTCGGGTTATATTGGGAAGGGACCGTAACATAACTCATGCATGCATCCATTCATTTTTCCCGATCTCCAACATACCTGGCTGGGTCTAGTTGATGCGACGAGGGCCTGTGGCTTTACGTAATGTCTCAAAGGCAGTG